TGAAATATGAACTCCGTGGCAACGGTAATTTAATTATGTAGAAGCTAGATCGGCCCTCCTCGTCTGCTTTCTTTCTCCACTCTTTCTTCTCAAATATCTTTTCCGAAGCTTAAATTTTTTTTATTTTTTGGGTTGAAAAAACCGAAGCTTCCACGAAATGGCGAAATGCACACCGACACTTTCTTTTCCTTTTTTTCATGGTGAAAAACCGAAGTTTTATTGCATCGACGGATATTCATGAGTTCTCCGCGTTAGGCACAAAGAGGTCCAATTCTGTCCCAATTTTGAAGTTTAACCCTAATTCCCCTTCCGCCATCTTCTTAAATATAGTAGTAGACGACAACTGCCTTTGTTCAAAAGTAAAAAGCAGCACATAGAAAGCCTGGGAAACGAAGTTTGATACTCGAAGCTTCAGAGGACCAAGTCACTGACTAACCGGAGCTACAGAAAACAATGCGCAGGTTAGTTTTGCAGTGATGTTTCCCTTTTATACAGCTCAATTTCACAAATTAGGGCTGTAGTTGGTTTCCTATATCGATTCTAATAAGGATCTTAAACAAAATTACAAAATTAGATATAAGATTTCGATTTCCTTGCAAATCGCCAAAAAGGCCAAAATCATCCGTTTCAAACGTTTTTTCGTTTCAAATCGCAATTCAGCAGCAATCTTTACATAAAGTAGAGTCAACATACGTTTCAACTTGAAAGAGAGACCTACAATCGCAAAATCGTTAGATTATATGTTTCAAAACGCAAGTTTGACAAAAACATTTGTTACCCAGGTAGCCGATGTCCAGAAATTAGGACTTTTCCATATTTGGTAGAGATGATTTTATATTATCTAACTAGTTATTGTTTTCCTTATTAACGTAATGAATATGGTTTGGAATTTGAATTATTCCACGATTAATTTGTCTGCAGGCGTAGCCACCATGAGGAGGGGGATGAGCAGCATTCCAGTAATACACTTCCGAAGGGTAAGAACTTACGGTGTTCATTTCAACACAACCAATATTGTTGTTTTTAACTTTGAACGTCTCAAGCAACTTAAAATCTGTTCATTTCTTCTGAAATTAATCACTAAATGTGTTTCAACTCTCAAGTAATGTAAACTACTGTGGATAGAGGAGAAAAGAATTTAATTTTGCAACTTTATTTGTATATAATTCAATGAACTTTGATATACTCATATACCCATTTTCAATTTGAAGGATAACTTCACTAATTCCATGCCTTTGTTAGCTTGTGGTTTGATTCTTTAGACATTTTGTCTGCATTTAGCATTACCCCTGTAATTTAGCTTGCTAACTGGCTGATGGATACGCACATCAGATGATGAAGCAAGACGCTCGGAACAGAGTGATGGTTCAGGCGTAGGGAAGGTATTGTTGTTTGGACGGATAATCCATTTACTAGTAAATGAGAAGCTAAAAATAATGATCTCTCTTTCTAATTACAGACATGGTTTTTGGTTTCATATATTACTCGTGCACAGATGTCGGTTGTCATCAACTTCATCCCACTGATCGCTTTAGCTGTCCTTGGCCAGCTTAACTCTAATCCGAAACCTCTGTACTCGTTCATACTCATGCTGCTGTCACTCGCTTCCCTATGTCTTTGGATCATTGCACTTAAGTACAGATCGAAAGGGAAAACAGCTATTCTTGGATTGGTATCTACTATCTGTCAGTCTTTGGTTGCAGCAGCTAATTGGGTTCTACTTGTTATGCATAGAAAGACACAGATTCAAACATCTGCTTGGCCAATCTTGTTTGCCTCTGTTGTATTATATTCAGCATTTCAGCGTAACCGGACCCAGACAGACCAACCACATCGTGTACAATTACAGCCTTTACAGTCAATAGTCATCGACAAACCCACATCCGAATATCAAGAAAGTTTCACACGTCTTCAAGGTATGAACTTCATTATTTAGGACAATGATAGTTTTATTAATGTCTAGAGTACTACACTTTATTTCATACCTTTTTTTATGATTTAATTAATTCTACAAGCATGTTTTCTTCTCTGATTTAATAGTACATCGTTATATGTAATTAAGCATGCTAACTAATTGATGCATATATCAGATCATGCTAAAGCAACTCGCTGGAGATACCTTTTGGTTTTAAAGGTACAATTAACAATCAGAACAATAGTTTTCTTTCCACCTTTTGAGAAGCCAAAAATTATTAACGTTTCCCTTTGTTTCATAGATTACTATTGAACAGGCGTTTGCTATTTTCAACCTCATGGTGGAGTTCACTTCAGCTATATTTGATCTGCTCTCCTCTGAGCCCAAACCTCTGTATGCGCTGATATTAATGTTGCTGCCATTTGTATCCCTTTTGCTTTGCTTATACGAGGTTTACCGCAAAGGAAAAACGGAAAGAGTTACATGGAGCTTCTGGGATAAGGTTGGATTGATATGTGCCGTGGTTCAGCCCATACCTTCAACATTTAATTTTGCTTTGGTTCGTCAACAGAAGGGCCAGGTCCAGATATCTGTGTTGCCTCTCGTTTTTGCCCTTGCTCTATCATGCTCCGAGGTTTGGGAAAGTCCAAATATGACAGGGAGTGAGGGAAACATTGATGAGGAAGAACAAGTTGTTCCCATTAATCAGAAACAGGGAGTGACTGAAGTGTCGACCCTAAAGAAAGAGAGTGAATCAACTGCCAGTGAAGAAGGGAAAAGTGGCCTCCCGAATCAAAGTCAGCTCGGAGGGAATGAAGAGGTGTCCCCAAAGAAAGAAAAAAGTGTTGTTAAAGATGATAATAAAATGGCCCCAAAGACAGAGGACAGTTGGGATATCTGGGTCAAATGGGAACCCGTCTTCACGGATACCCCGGTATCACCGAAGAGCATCCGGGTATCCTCGGAGAGGAGAAGGATAAGACGTCCGCTGTTGACTCCAGGAGAACGGATGAAAGCGCTCATTAAGGAGATTAGAGAGACGCTTTTCACAGACGAGATTTGGCCATTAGCAAAAAACGAAGAGTCTGTGCGGGGGAAAAAGAAAGAACTTATGCGAGAGCCAACAAGAAGAAAGACGGATACCATACTAAGAAGAAGAAGGGATACCGGGCGACATAGTTATTTCAACTAATTAGTTTTAAATGCCCGTGCTTTCGACGGACTTTTTTTTTCTATATTCTCTGATTATTTTCGTAATAATTTTTATGGAGAATTTGTTTGAAAAAAAGTGTTGGTTGAGTTAATGGTAAATGAATGTGTATATATATATATTATAGTTTTTTAGTTTGTACATTGCACGAGTGATTTTTTAATTTTTATATTAAAATTTATATTTTATATTTTTTTT